GATTGCATCTCTTCTTCAAGTGATTTTAGTTGGCTCTCCTGTTGAGAAACCGAGGTTGAGACTGTTCTATGCAAGACACTAATGTCTTGAGTCAGCTGGGAATGGAAATGTTGAATTGTACTTCTATTTGTATCTTCAATCTTTTCCTTCCTTTCTGAAAATCGATACGAAGAATGAATATGAATATTTAAATTGAGAAAGGAAAGAGGGAGGGAGAAAGAGAAATGGAGGCAGACCTAATTTTGAAAATAGCCCATATAGATCCCCTGCTGTATTCTCCAGCTCTGATCGGAGTCTTTGTGCTTCACCAACAAGAACTTTTTCTGAAGACATTTAAAAAGGAAAGGACGTAAGAGAAATGGTAAGCACAATCACCTCAGCCAAAAATCTGAAAATTTTCTGCAAGTATGAAAATAACACGGTGCAGGTGTATCAAGGCAAAATGGAATGAAACAAACAGTATTTTAGTATTTTCCTCACATGCATTCTGTACACAGCAAGCTAGAGAACCTTGTCAAATGCTTAATTAAGCCTATGCAACACATTTCATATGCAAACTCAAATAGAAATCAATGAAGTCTTCATTATGATAAGCTTTGCCTTGAAGGGGCAAAATCTAACCTGATTTAAGAAGATTTTCTATCAAATGTTGCTTCTCCTTAATAGTATTATTTGCCTTCATGTATTTCGCTTCAAGATCCGCTAGGGTGCACTCTGTTTCCTTCATTCTTTTCTGCAAAAAGATGAGAAGTTGTAAATACAAACATCATTATTCAATTTTTGATAGAAAAATGACAATACAAGTATACAGCACACATACCTGTAATGTCTCAAGTTGATCACTTAGATCTGCACTCAGAACTTTCTGAGAATCATAGAGTCCTTGAAGCTCTTCTAATTGCTGGTACAGTTACAGATTCCGAATTATAGCATTATTTTTTTCAGCAAGATACAGATCCTCTAACTGAAGTAAAGGCATACCTTATCTTTTGAATCCAAAATAAGCTCCAAACGATCCAGTTTCTCTGACATAGACTGAAGAACTCCTCTGTCATGCTATAGAAGAATATGCACAATCTAATATGTCATAAGTGATGAAGGGAGTAAGTACCTTCTTTTCAGCTTCATCTGCTAAGTATTGTTCCCTCGGAATATAAACACCATTTTTCTCCCTTGCAGCATATAGTTCTGTTCGAAAAGCGGAACCAAATTTAGTAACCGTACTAGCTTGAAGTATCTGGCTTTTCAGAAAATTAAAATTGATGAACAATAATATACAGATAGTGATCGCAGATTTTAGTGTATCTACAATGAAGAACTAAAATCTAGAAATACCTCGTCTAGACTATGCACTTACAGACGTGCATCCGTGGTCTCTGCATTTTTCAAAGAACTGGAAGAATGTGGTAAACAATTTGATTTGATGACATAGATGTTCATCTTTAGTTAAACTGAGTAATTGTCATATTTTTAACAGTGTTCAGGTACATGGTGTCAAACAATTCTGACAATAGAGGAGATGAATAAGATGCAGTGAAGCATTCAGCACATTTGGTGGATTTTATAGTAAGATTCATCCAGCAGTAACCACGTTTCCCAGAATCATCTAATATTCAACCCATCTTTATTTCAAGAGCACAAGATTAACTCACATGCTCGGATGGGAAATGATCATGTTGTATTTTTCTGAAGTTCTCAACAAATGTTTCTAAGAAGAAAAGGATACCTTGCTTGAGACGGTCCATTTCAAAGTACAAATCTTTGATGAGCGCAGATTTCATCATCTTTTGATTGACCTGGAAATCATGGGCAAGTTATTAAAATCAGTTATCCATGAGAAAGTTTACATTGCAATTAATGGTAATTTGACAATAATAATAAAAAAGTAGAACCTCTGGCTTATTCTTGATGTGTTTTGCACGATGCGCGTAATCCAGGGTGCTTAGCGTCTCCTCAAGGCAGTGTACTGAAGGTGAGATGGTCGCTATGATGCAAGTCTTTGTCTTCCCTCCCAAGGAATCTCTTAACAATCTTGTTAACTTGCTATCCCTGCATGAATAGCAGCCAAATATCAGATGCTTGAACAGCCTCAAGGAACAATCTGAATAGCTAATGTTTGCTTGACCTGTATGGTATGTGTCCAGAGTGCTCAAGAAGAGTATTAATGACACGCCCAAGTGTAAGCAGACTCTTGTTAATTTCTCCTGCTTCGCGAGCTCGCCCCTATAAAAACAGAGGGCAACTATGTAAGTATTCTTCACTTGTGCAGCTTGAAGCTTGATCATGGTATTTAGTGATGAAGTGGAAAAGGAAACAGGAGCTCCCATAAAAAAAAAAAACTTACGTCTCTAGCACCGGACCTAGATATGTTTTCAGAGCCAGCAAGGTCAACGAGATTAAGCTTTCCACACTTGATCATTTCCTCACCCTCATGTGTGCATTCCTTAATATGGATGGTGATAGAGAAAATAGAGTGTGAGCGACTGCTTTGCTTGTTGAGAAGAGTTTCAGCAGTTTTCCTCTTTGCAGAGCCTCTCTCCAGTATCCTGTAGATCTCGGCAGCCGAAGAAACTAGCTCTTCCTCGAGCCCTCTAACAAAGACTCCTCCCTTGCCATCCTCCATGAGCGCCATAGGCTTCTTGGACTTGTCATCAGAGAATTTGGATTCCTCTGGAGCTAGAAGGTCAGTGAGCTCCTCATTGTACAACTCAAGAAAAGAAACCTTCATGCTGTACTCTGCATTCTGTGCCTCGAGGATGTCAAATATGCGCTTAACAGCCCTTGGAATGACACCGGCATCAGATGGGAGGTCGCCGTTCTACAGAAATGCAGGTGGAGGGTGGAGTTATGACCTCAGTTGAAGCAGCTAACCAACTGCATCAGAATTCAGGAACATGTGTAGCATGTGAATATATAAAATAAGAATTTACCAGTGCTTTGCCTCCTCCTCCTCCTTCCATTGTGTATGTTTTGCCAGTTCCAGTCTGGCCATATGCAAATATTGTGCAATTGTAACCGTCCAAAACCTCGCTGACAAGTGGCACAACAGCATGGTTGAAGACATCCTGCTGCTGAGACTTTGGTCCGAACACCTGCGTGTTTCCATTGGTTAGTGAGTGATGAATCAATCATGTGAATGCCTGGGTGTCATGTGGCAGTGATCAACAAGTGGAAGTGGTAAAGGGAAATAGAATAGTTGGCATGAGTTACCTTGTCGAATGCAAAGGTGCGATCAATTTGCTTGTTAGCGATGTTCTGGGCAACGGAAACCTCCCGTCTCTGGTCATTGCAAGTGACCACCACAGGAGTGCCGACGCGGCGTTCCTCCTCGCTCAATGGCCTAGGAATAGGATGCAGTGAGGTTGAATCGATGAGTAGTAAGTAAAATAAACGATGATATACAGTGGATCAATTGACAGGCATTGCATTGCATTGGTGGATCGATCAGACAGTGGCGTGTACTGGAAAAGCATAGTTGCAGTGCATTACATACTCCTCCACCGGTGACCTATCGGTTGATCGTGGGGCTGTCTATAGAAACGCTAGTAGATGCATGCATAGGTAGGAAGTAGTATTGATTACTGTAATTAGGAAGCAGTGGATATTACTATGGTAAAAAAAAAATTAATGTACCTGCATCTGAGGAGGACCTGGACGTTAACGCCTCCGGATCCGGACCCCTTGGAGGAGGTGGAGGTTTGCTGCTGCTGTGCTGCGGTCTGCTGGGCAGCGTTGATGCTGCTGTTACTGCTGCCGTTGAAGAGGAGGGGGCCCCGATCCCGGTGCCTGCTTGTGGGGGGCTTGTGGGCGGAGGAAGAGGTGCCGCTCCTGGGCGTGTGGGAAAAGGAGGGGGACATGGCGGCGTAGTCGGCGGGGGCTCCGCCGCCTCGGCGAGGGGTGGGGGTGGAAGCCTCCATGGATGATTGATGAAATGAAACGAAACGCAGGGAGGTGAGTGAGGATGAGGGGAAATGGGGAATCGACTGACTGGCTCCGTTTGATTTTGAATCGGAGAGAAGAATGCCCTGCCCTGGCCGCCGGCACGCGGCACCAGCAGCCCAGGTCCAGCCGAGCCGAGGACTTGCCTCTTGGGCCCCGCACCGCACCACAGCCTCGGATTCCCACGGAACTGACGGGGCCTGGGGCCCACTTTGGGTTGCATTTGAACTCTCCGACCGTTGCACGGAGAGGGAGCTTCCTTGCAACCATAGTAGATTAAGCATAGTTGAAGTAGCGACATAATGAGTACACATGGGAGTGACACGACGAAGTTTCTAAAGAGACTGATGTGTGTTTCCCAGGAGCCGTTGGTATATATGTACATAGGATTGAGATGGCAAAGCAATCATGGCCACGTCTGATGTGATAAATATAACCTCGCACATCTCGCCAAATGATGAAGCAGCCATCTTGTTCCATGTTGTCACTCTGTGCAGCAGCAAAGACAATCAGTTTAAAAATAGTAGGTGGTTAGACCAGCGTGATCTCTCTTAATTCAGGTAGGATAGGGAGGAATGGTTGATGCTTGGTAAACAGAAGCAGAGGGCTAAGAGTGTTACTAGTTCCTCATCTCCAGTTGATGCAATTATAAAGGCCTGCCATGGCAGAGCACAATGCAGGATTCATTATCGCTTCCAAGTTAGTTACTCAATTAGCTACCTATGCATAATGCTACCTAATAAGAGGCATATCAGTTTCCTTCTTTTCTTTTTTTTGGCAAATGTATAGCCAAGAACTTCGGGATAATGACCAAATTGGTCCTTTAGCTAAATAAGTTGGTAAAATCTGAGTAAGAAAGAGGGGCATTCAAAAGACAGTTGTATGGTTATCTAGCATGACTGGTTATACATTGTATAATGAAGAATGGACCACGGGAAGCATTTATGTGATTAGCATATGGCACACAAACAAGGGTGCAATGTTGTGCTTGAGCAATGTTCAGCACCCCTGTATCTGCTTTAAACATAACTACATCCATTTCAGTTTAAAGAAGATAGTACATGTATATTGAGAAAATTGAAAGTGTTTCCACCCCCGACAGTTTCCACAGGCATTTCCAAGGTATAACAAACCATCTAGCCATTTTTCTTTCCCTCTCATTCTTTACATCATATCACTTTAATGGAATAAATGTACCATTTCAACATTTCTGCCAGAAAACAATAGATGGTATGCAGATACAAGAAAGGGAAGAAAATATAGCTCACCAAATGGTCAAATTCCAAGATAAGACATGCTTCACATCTTCTTTAGTTGGGTTGGCAGCCACACCTATCCCTCCTTGAGGTTAGGTCTGAGAATTATGTGTAGGTGTAATGCAGAATAGTAGCCTCCTTCAATTTGATTTCACTACATAAAAAAATAAATATATGAGTAAACCATCAAGCAGAAACAGACAGTAGATTGTTAACTGACCACTTGTTTTTACAAATAACTCCGTATATTCAGATATCTTATTCTGGGGATTTGATGTGATTATGCTATCTATGAGCACCGTTTGGACACAAATGCTCTCTGGTACGTGTCTTGAAATTCTGCGAATTTTCCATAAACTTCTACATCATTTACTACTTATCCTAAAAGTTGAGGACGTTACCCGGTTCCCACTGATAGCACTCGCAGAAAGGGTGGTAGGTGGGGAAGAAGGTTGTAGGCGTCTCTTCTGCATGGTATTTGCCATCTCTTGGCGGTGGCCATCAGGAAGCTACTCCTCTCTAGGGTAGTGTTGTTGTTTCTAGAGGAGCTTTAATTTTGCTATGTGTAACTGCATTATCGTTGACTGTTGTTAGAAAAGAAAACCAAAAGCCTAGATCAGGTTACTCTTGAAGAAAATCTAAGCCTGCATAAATTTTTTATAGCTCATATTACAATATAAATTTGTGAAAATAAGACCATATGTTGGCAAAAATTCCTAGCATACGCAACAGTAACCTGCACATGTTGCAAAAAACATTTGGTTCACCCAAAAATATCAAGTTGCACATAGCAAATCGAAAGCTATAGAAAATCAATGTAAACGCAAATATGGAAAAGTAAACGAACAGGACCTCAGAATTCAAATACCAACAGAATAGATATATGATCCCAATAAGTTAACATAGGACCATCGTGGTACAGTTCAAACTGAGACATTTATATATGACACACTGAGATAGTAACGAAAAGAACTTAAAATCTTCCATGTATAGAATTGTCTAGCAGAGGTCCAAAGATTAAAAAAAGAGGTGGGAATCAATGACCGGAAACTAAAGGGAGGAAATGGACACATGTCGAAAGTATGTCACTGAGACGTCGATTGCCAAATTTGACTTGTTGATAAGCATAGTGTAGCTGCCCTTTTGTGATATCAAATTGCGTTATTACTAAAACATAATACTGCAGCCACAAGCAAGGTTTATTTCCCTTGAATATCAACTAATGCAAACACCTAATACAAGCATGCAAGCACACTCCCTAATTTGACTCCGCTGCACATCTACAGTGTGCAGTCAAGTATTCTTGAAAACTGATAAGCTAGAGAACAATCACTGTTACTTACCTCCAATATGCTGACATAGCAGATTTTAGCTCTTTAGGTATTTCCTCATAAGTCCATTGCTGATCAATCACCATGACCATCTAAGATAAAGCCTGAGACTTGACAAACAAAAGGGAGCACCAGAAAAGCCGACATTCTGTGTAGAAAAAAAAATTCATTCATGTGGTGGATGAACAACACTAATCTCGTGTGGTGCAGGACTTCCGCGTGACTCCCGCGGATCCCTCGAAGTCTTCAATCCAGACTCCGCTGCCGCCGCTTCAAATCGGGTGACCACCTCCCCATTCCTCCTCCCTCCTGCAGTTGCTTCCCATCCTAGCCTCGCCGGGGATGATGAGGATGCTGACGTGGGTCGGGCGACACAGAGGGCCGCCGAGTGGGGCCTTGTCCTCCAGACCGACGAGCACACCAGCCGCCCCCAGGGCGTCGTCGCCCGCCCCTCCGGCGGCTCCAACCGCACCAGCGAGAGTGGAAACTCCATCGACGAGAGGGTCGCCGCTGGTAGAGCACTCCCCCGAGTGTCGGAGGAGCTCCGCGCCGCACTCTCTGCGTTCCAGTAGACCTTCGTCGTGTCCGATGCCACCCGCCCTGACCACCCCATCCTCTACGCCAGTGCTGGATTCTTCAACATGACTGGTTACTCCTCCAATGAGGTCGTCGGAAGGAACTGGTTCGTCGATTTCAGCGCGTGTTTAGTTGTGGGAAGTTTGGAATTTGGGCTACTGTAGCACTTTTATTTTTATTTGGCAATTAGTGTTCAATCGTGGACTAATTAGGCTCAAAACGTTCGTCTCGCAATTTCCAACCAAACTGTGCAATTAGTTTTTTTTCGTCTACATTTAATGCTCCATACACGTATCGCAAGATTCGATATGATGGATACTGTAGCACTTTTTGGGAAAAAATTTTGGAACTAAACACGGCGTCAATTCCATTTCATTCTATTCTATTCCATGCCAATTCAATTCCATTTAATGCATAGATACATACAACTCCAACTAGTACGCACTGCACTTATGCCTCCACCATCTCTCAACTGCAGCCGCTTCCTTCAAGGTTCTGGGACCGTCAGCCGCTTCCTTCAAGGTTTTGGGACCGACCCCGTAGAGATTTCGAAGATCAGACGGGCTCTCGCAACTGGGTCAAATTACTGTGGTCGTATTCTCAACTACAAGAAGGATGGTACACCATTCTGGAACCTCCTAACTGTTGCCCCCATCAAGGATGAGGATGGCAGGGTCCTCAAGTTCATTGGGCCAGCTTTTTCATTATATATATCATCATGCCATTTTATAGTTTTGTTCAGCACTATAGTTATTATAAACCTTGGTGTGCAATGTGTCACAGGATGCAAGTGGAAGTGAGTAAGTACACAGAAGGTAGCAAGGATACAGCTCTTCGCCCAAATGGATTGCCAGAGTCACTCATCAGATATGATGGTACTATTACTACTAGTAGTCTTGCCTACTTTTCAAAAAAAAAGGTTTTACCTTGCACGACTGTGAAAACAATAATATTCTTTGCAGCAAGATAGAAGGATCATGCCCGTAGCTCAGTCTCGGAGCTTCTACTTGCCCTAAAGGATCCACGGTCATTGTCAGAATCAAGAAACAATACCTTAAAAAGGAAATCACAGGAATCAGGAGATGTGCTTTCAGGTGAAGTTCCCGGCAAGAGAAACTCCGAAAGTGGATCCCACCGTAACTCACGGAGTGGAACGAGAAACTCTCTACAAAAAAATTAGTGAAGTGCCTGAAGGAGGGAATAAGACCAGGAAATCTGGTTTGCGTTCCTTTATGGGGTATGATAATAAACCACATGATATAATCATATCATTTGCTTTATTTCAAAGTTTCCTTGTAGAGTCTCTATTATCTTTGCATTTGTTCTCACATTTAACTCGTTTGTGCAGTCTTATTAGTATGGGTCATGGAAATGTGGAGAAGAACATTCTAAAACCAAGGGAAGATACGCTACTTGATAGCGATGATGAGAGACCAGAAAGCTTTGATGATGATTTTAGGAGGAAAGAAATGAGAAGGGGTATAGATTTGGCTACTGCGCTTGAACGTATTGAAAAGAATTTTGTCATCACTGACCTGAGGTTACCGGATAATCCAATTGTAAGACAAAAACTCGTATATCTTCTACCTTTAACATCATTGTTCTTTTCTTTCTATCAACATAGATATCAACCTTCCATTGAACTACATCATTATATTTTCGGGTGAATGTCATAGATTTTTGCATCGGATAGCTTTTTGCGATTGACAGAGTATTCACGTGAAGAAATATTGGGAAGAAATTGTAGGTAAATTATGGCATTAAATATTACCTAAATTCATTGCTTTCAACTGTTCATAAACTACATATTACAGTGACTAATGATTTAATGAATCCTTTCATCTATATATGCTTCCTTTGCAGGTTTCTTCAAGGGCCTGAAACTGACCGTGGGACAGTAAAGAAGATAAGAGATGCCATAGATAACCCCTCAGCTGATAAATTATACAAAGAGCGGTACATACTCTTCACATGCTCCCATGTTCTTGTAAGATCATGATGCAATTTCTATACCCCCAACATTTATAACAGTACATCACTCTAGTGTTATGTTACTGCATTAGTACTAACTGCTGGCGGGTAGAGGCTAATAATGTGCAAATGTTTTTTTTCCTATAGTAATGAATCAAACTAAAATTTCTTGTGGTTTTGAGCAGGTAAAAAATTCTGGAACCTCTTTCACTTGCAACCTATGCGTGATCAGAAGGTACTGTAATAAGAGATATGAAACTTTTTTACCTAGATATTTGGTTTGGAACTATTTCATGTGATTTGAGAAGCATCCAATTTGATGGTTGATTAGGGTGATGTTCAATACTTCATTGGGGTTCAGTTGGATGGAACTGAGCGTGTTCGAGATGCTGCTGCAAAATATGGTGCCATGCTGGTTTGTTTCTACCTTAATGGCGACTAGCATATATGGGCTTGCTATCACAAATGTCTGGAAAAAAAATTGAGAATACAATGCCAAACAACTTTATCGTGACTGCTATGTTATAAATGCAAGCCATCCATAGTTTAGTACTTGCAATGTTTATTAGCATTTAGCATCATCTAGCGTTATTAAAGATTTATATTTCTTAAACCCATTGATCAACACTGGACTCATAGACTAGTGGTAAAGTTCCATAGATGGCATCTTTAAGGTCAGTTCTTTAGTGCTCCGATGAATTCCCTCCTTAATTGACTTCTTTTGTGTTTTAGTTTGCATAAAGTGATTTTGACAACTAAATTTTATGTACCTTACTTTTCTAAATTCCTTGTTGGAAAACATAGTTGTCTTATGTATTAACTTGAATTATTCATGTACCAGGTTAAGAAAACTGCGGACAATATTGATGAGGCTGCAAAGGAACTTCCGGATGCTAATTTGGTTCGTCTAAAAAATATTAATTTTATATAATATGAAATTAAGTATTACTAAGAACTTCTAATAGAAATTTGTGGTTATATTCAGAGACCAGAGGATCTATGGGCTAATCACTCAAAACCAGTCTTGCCAAAGCCACATATGAAGGATACCGCATCATGGAGAGCCATCCAAAAGGTATGTTATACATAGTTCACAACATAGATACTTACATGCAATTTATGAGCCTACTAGATGAAAGGGAACAATCATGAGACACTTGAGAAAGCAATTGGCATGCATTCTTCCATAGTATTAGGTAGTCTCTGCAATATTATATGCCTAATTTGGAAACCACTGGAAACAAGCACATATGACATTTTTTTAGAAATCTCCTAGATGGTTCATGCTATTTTTTCTTGTAGGTTCTTGAGAATGGTGAAAGCATCGATTTGAAACATTTTAGACCAGTAAGACCCTTAGGATCTGGTGACACTAGCAGGTAAGTACTTCTCTATTATAGTTTCAAGTATAGTAATGACTCAGTTTGCATGAATCCAGTAGACATACTCCTTTCTAGTTTTCATTTCCTATAGATGTTTTAAATAGTAAACATGTGAGTTGTTGTTGAATTGTAGTGTCCACTTGGTGGAGTTGCTTGGCATAGGTGAATACTATGCCATGAAAGCTATGAATAAAAGTGTCATGCTTAACCGAAACAAGGTATGAGTAATAGGTTTCATCACACATGACATTTTAGTCACTTCCACCTTTAATTGTTTTTTTCTCATCCGATTTGTCTATAATACCTCTAGGTCCATAGAGCTACCGCTGAACGACAAATCTTGGATATGTTGGACCACCCATTCCTTCCGACATTGTATGCATCATTTCAGGTTTGTTGCATAATGAAACTGTGTAATATATTAATATGATGTTAGGGTTGTTAATGTTTGTTCTCCTTGATTTTATTATACTTTTGTGGATGACTATCATCTCAATGTCATATATATGTTGCAGACAAAGACACATGTATGTCTTATTACCGACTATTATGCTGGCGGGGAACTCTTTATGCTCCTCGATAGACAACCTATGAAGGTACTGAAGGAAGACGTGGTTAGGTGGGTATTGACATTGAAATTGTTTCTTTTGCTTAGATTTAGTGAAAACTCTTTATGCTTCTCCATTGTCATTGATATGCTACTCTGATCCTTAATTTGTTTGTTGTTACATAATATAATTGGTAGTTGGATAAAGAACCCAAGAAGTATTGTTGATGTAATTGTCCATGATTATTGCAGGTTCTATGCTGCAGAAGTGGTCACGGCACTTGAATACCTACATTGCCAAGGTAGTCATATATGCCATACTAATTATATAAATGAAATTCTCTTTGGTGGTGGTGGGTACCATGCATGTAGTGGATAGTCAAACACAACCCAATATTCAATAACCATATTGTTTTGCTTGACCAATAGTAATTATTTGCCAACATCTCGAATGATTGTTTTAGGTAGGCCTGGGCGTTCGGTCTGACCGAACCGAACTGATTGGTTCCTCTGTCTTTTCGAAAGTTCGGTCATCTAAAAACGAAGACCTATCGGTTAGTTCTAGAACTCAGGACTGAGTAAGTTCAGTCTCGGTTAGTTCGGTTCGGTCTCGGTCATGACCGAACTAACCGGACTAGACAAAATAGCTACTAAATAGCATGATTTGTAGCAAATTTTAGCAATATTTTTTCTATTTCAAGGAAAAAATAACAATACGGCTTATAGATTAAACAAAGTGATAAGAGTGATGGTTGATATAAACCCATTAGAATAAATATTATATTACTAACAATAGTCTAAAGTACACATTATGTCAACATAACTCAAGCAAATGTTCGGTTAGTTCAGTTACCTGAGGCACGTAACCGAACTAACCGTAAAAAGTTCAGGTAGTATGGACTCGGGACCGAACTAGTGACCAAAAATTTCGATCTCAGTTAGTTCGATTCGGTCTTCGTTCTTCGATTAATTATACCTAGGGCTAGTTTTAGGTAAGAATTTAAGCATTCATGAAAGTGGTAGGCTTCCTTAGAAGACAAAGGGGAAGGGTTCCTTGCACTTATTCATCACATTTTACTAGAGAAACTTGAGATGTTTACTATTTCTAAGCATTTGCTCCCCTATTCTTTTTTCTTAGGTATAATCTACAGAGACTTAAAGCCAAAGAACATTTTACTTCAAAGAGATGGGCACATTTCCTAACAGACTTTGATTTGTCTTGCTTGACATCCTGCTGACCACAAGTAATGTCACTTCATTAATAACCTTACTGGACAGTTTCATGACTATTATTTTAACTCGTTAGTCTATTTTCTTAGTTGCACTTCATGGTTGTTCTTGTTGTTTGATAGGTGTTTCTTCCAGAAGATGATAAGAAGAAAAAGAGGAGGAAGAGCAGGAGCAATCCCATATTCTTTGCTGAACCAATGCGAGCATCAAATTCTTTTGTTGGTATAGAGGAGTACATTGCGCCAGTATGTATATATATGTGTTGTTACTTCGCTTTATTTATGTGATTTTCCCAACATTTTCATTTCTTGTCTCTATTTGACATGTGTGATAGCCATCACCATTTGTGGCATCAATCCTTGTATGCATGTTGTAGGAGATTATTACCGGAGCCGGCCATACAAGTGCTGTAGATTGGTGGGCGCTAGGTAACTAATCTTGTGCTAAAGGAAACATGTATAATACACGCTACTATATAATAATGAGTATTCTCCCTATTTGTTGGATTAGGAATTCTTCTATATGAGATGTTGTATGGTTATACACCGTTCAGAGGGAAGACAAGACAAAGGACCTTTGCTAATATTCTGCACAAGGATATCAGATTTCCTGCGAGCATACAGGTAATAATAAAAGCATTTATTCTAGTAGGTGAGCCTTGCAGCAAGTGTTTGTGATGTATATATGTTAATTGTAGGTGAGCCTTGCGGCAAGATGGTTGATATACCGGTTGCTACACCGGGACCCTACAAATAGGCTAGGTTCCTACGAGGGCTCCATGGAGATCAAACAACACCCATTCTTCCATGGCATAAACTGGGCTCTAGTTCGTGCCGCCACACCCCAGAATTAGAGGCTCCCCTACAAGATACATTATTGGAGGCCACAGGAGACACTGCCTCCTCCTGATGCAGCTCACACCGATATGTTCTAAACATGCATTGATCCATGAAGCTACATGCTAATTTGCTCAAAGGAAGCAAAAAATAAAATATTAGATGATGAAGATGCATGTTTGTCTATGCATGAATGTGATGTAGATAAGAACAATAATGTATGTTAAGGACTAATTAATAATCTCAATCCATCTTTAAGCATACGGGTGCAATGAAAATAAGATTGTGTGTGTGTATTATTTCTACGATTGCAATATGCACGTGGGTCTAAAATATCTCTCTCTTTATCTCTCTCTCTAGCAAACATGCATGCCCTTGCGATGTAATGGGAGAAAAAACCATCAAACAAACTATTTTATGGATGGTTTCATGTTGTATTCAAGGGATAGTGAGTTTCGGTTGTGTTATATGATATTGTTTATATCTAAAAATTCCTTAACACAATGTAATATATGTTTTCAAAGGATCTTTCCCTACGAGGGTTCTAGCTCCAGAAGTAGGTGAACTCAGATAAAACAGGAGACTACAGAACAATGATAAACTACCTCTTGGACCTAATGCACGAAGGCAAACTCAAATATGAGTATGTAATGTCATTCTGTTGTTAGTTTGCTGTTAAATCTTGTTGAGATGCTCTCATCTAGACATTGTCGTGTCCGTAAATAGAAAAACAAAGTGAGTCCTTGGAAATATATTGATTTGTTTACAAGATGGAGTTGATTTCTTTCAATGAGTTTAGCTCGACTGGAGAAGACCCTAGGTAGACACAGAAGCCAGCCAAAGCAAGTTATCATGTTTTGAAATAAGGGTAGACTAGGAGATCAAAGAGCATGCAATTGGCATTGACCTATATGAATGATGAATCCTATAGTTGGTTATGTCAAAGTGTCAGAGTGACTTGGAGCTATAAATAAAATAAAGACAACTGTCTTTGGTGTAATTAGGAAACCAATGGCTTATAGCTACACTTAAGTGCGAGTTCATTTTGCAATAAAATGTTCAACATGAATGTTTGTATCCATATCTAAAGTGCTATGTTCACTTGGTGATGGTAGGCGGTTGTACACATAGACTATGCGTAAAGTTTTTTTTTTTGAGAAAATGTTATGTTCGTTATTTTGTAGGCAGATGGTTAATGCGAATTCAACATGAGTGTTTGTATCAATATCTAAAGTGCCTTTATATTTTTCATAAAAAATGTTTTTGTTGTGTAGATCATAACTCGTTAGATTTGATTTATGTTTTTGAAATCATCCATAATTTATGGATATCATTTGAACAATAAATGTTCTAGTAGGCTATATAATAAAATGCAAACGGTGTATATAATTAAACTGTTTTAATTAATTTAAAAGGTGAAGTTGTAAATTGGACAAATAGACTCATACCTTTAAAAAAAATTGGTGAATTTTTTTTGTTTATATAACTGATAAGTATAATAATAACGAAATAAAAAAGCTCAAATTATTGGGCCCACCTGTCAGTCAACCTTTAGCCTACGCCGTTCCCGAACCTCTGGCGTTGTCGTGTTCATCTTCGATCTCCCTCTCCTCTCTCTCTTTTGAGGAGAACTGCCTGCTCCTGCTCCCTCCGCTCCTCCGTGCTCCCACTCGCCATCCCTAGACTTCATTTCAGGCGCGGATGGACGATTACGCCCGGGAGATGATGGAGCTCAAGACGCTCGTCACCCGCACCCTCGAGAAGAAGGGTGTCCTCGCCAAGATTAGGGTTCGTACTTCCCACTTCTTCATTTCCCCAACCCCTCCATTGATCCGGTGCCTCCACCACGCCCCACGGATCTAGCTTTTCCTCCCCCTCCGGTCTGGGGATCTACACCTCCGCTTCTGCAATTTGCCAATTTCCTTCCCAAATCCGCGGATATAATTTTTTTTTTCAATTTCTAATGTGCACATTCTGAGCGCCTGGGCGCTGTTGGGTAGGTTCTTGTTTAGGAATATGAAAGAATACTCACGCATTGCTCAAGAAAAGTTTTTTTTCACCACGTCCATTTTTGTTGTTCTAGTTGCCATTGCCAATTCGTGTGCTCATTTTGGTAAAACTCGTTCGGAGCATATGAGGTTGCTCGCATATTGCTGAAGAAAAGACTCACCTTGTATTATTTTGTTGGTCTAGTTGTCATTACCAGTTGGCGTGCCCATTCTTGGCACAGTCCTTAGGAGGAAACGCGTCTGTGTTACTGAAAATCTTTTTTTTTCGTGTTGTGTTGTGACTATTGCACCTAAACTTCTCAGTGCTCTTTTGAGTTTTCGACTCTAATGGTATGATGCCAGGGAGGGGGGTGGACAAAAGAATCTATTTGTGTGTAACATAGATAAATATAGTTAGCTTGGGTTTCTATCTTTTTTCTGTTGAAAGCATGCTATGGTCCATTGAATGCACATACTTCCGCCACCTTTCCTGATGATGTTTCTGGCTGCATGACTAGGCTGAGCTAAGAGCAAGCGTGTTTGAAGCCATTGAAGAGGAGGATCGGGTGGTGGAGAATGATGATGGCGGGAATCCTGCTTTGCTTGGTAGCTGTAATGACCGAGCTAAGCAACTGCATGCTTCACCTTCAGGTTTGCCTTGCCCTTTGAATGTGCTGGCTAATCAGTTGTTTCAAATATGTCTGCAGAAGCCAAAGCTTGTCTCTGATGCATTATCAAAACAAAAGAAATCAAGAGAAGCTTGTCTCTAATGCTGCTACGCATATACACCCTTTCTCTCATATACTGACCTGTAGAAATTTATACTACTGTTCTGAAATATTCGAGAAGGACAAAGGTTGATATTCTGCTGCATGATAATCTTTTCCCTGCTGGAAATTATGCCATTTTTTAGCAAGCGATTTAGGACTAAACCTGAAAGATACACATTTTTTTCTCCTGATTGATGACTAGGGTGAGTCTTTGGATTTGAATGCTTCTGCACTGGTGATAATTCAAAGAAGCATTTTCATAATGTATTTTGTTGTTTTTAAGTCCCATCAAGGACATCTCAAATGTTTAAGGTTGTTGTGCTGGCCTTAAAATGATTTTCAGTACTAAGTTTAGCCATGTGTTTTGCAAGCTGCACATAACATGGAATGTTTTACATTCTAGGAATTCTGTTGCTTGCAGGTAGGTTACTAACTGCACTTGTATGCGAATACTTGGAGTGGGCGCAACTAAGTCACACAATGAAAGTTTACTTGCCAGAGTGTAACCTGGTAAGTGGTGACTGTTCCTGATATTTTGTTTTTGCATTTCGGGAATCAACATCCATTAATGTTTCCCGGTTTTGTTTGTAAATCAGCCCAAGGACTTCTGGAAGAATGAACTGAAAGACTTTTCTAACAAAAGTGGAGCTGAAGGGGGCAGGAGTGCTGAAAGTGGTCCAATGCTTTTAGATGTTCTCGAAGGTTATCTGAAATATGAGGTTTATCTCTCGCGTGATCATTAGCAGAAGCAAAAATCATCCTTTTGTTTCTTTATGTTTCCCAGTAAAGACAAAAAAGGGGGAAAGCTTTTGTGGTAATGTAGCCAATTCTTTTTTCCCCAGAAAACTGTGTAGTCCTGTATGGATCAAGGTAACAAATCTCTGGCAATAGCTGCCGCTATAGCCAGCTATAGCTGTTTTAGGCACTACACCACTATTTGTACCCACATTCATTTTAGCCTGTTTTAGCCAGGTATTAGCCTTATGAGAACTCTGCAACTAAATGTCTATAGCCGGCTATTTGTTACAGTAGTATGGAATCCTCTTATGCTTATGTTCGCTATGTAGAAAAGGTAGTATATTGAGTTGTGAGCAATATTCCTTCATACTATTGGTGTCTTGCTTAATCAAACTGTCCAAAAAATTAGATTGTTTGCCACAAGTACAATACTCATCAAGGTATTGCCTTAGAACAAAAAGTAGGTGTTCTTATTCTGGAAGCTTAAGGAGATAGGTTTATCAAGACCCAAGCATTGTCAGAATGTATAGAATGATTCTAAGAATAACCAGAATGGATAAAAATTGGTATACTCTTTTCTGAGTTTGGTCAGTTGTCTTGCACTGCATGCATGGGATTTATATTTACAATGCATTGCCATTATCATTGTACTGAGATCTGCTTACATATAATTTTCCAATCTCAACTTATTGATGCAAGGCCTGTACTCAAGGTCTCCTTTTGATGGTCTGTGGTGCTTGGGGTATGAGCTGCATTTATGCTGCTTTCTACCTATGACCTTTAGTTCACTGCACACACAAAATTTGATTTTTTTTCCCCAGCTTGGCTTTCACTGTCCTTATACTTTATTAATAACAAGTTTATTTATTATTAACCTCCAAATATAGTCAATATGCTCTAGCTTAAAAGTTTTGGTTTTCTACAGCATGCTTTGGTCATCTAAATATGTTGTGTTGGGCAGAATTTGTCTCAAACAAGGATGGGCGGCAGGAGGATGATGAGTTCAGAGTCTGATCCATCGCTAAATGCTGAACACCGGAGCATGAGGAGGCCACCATCAGCGTCAGTTGGGAGCCTGCCTCCTATGGGGAGGTAAGCGTGATGCCATACTGCTGTGCCGTTGTAAATATGCACAGCTATTTGTTTTTGGCATTAGATATTTGGATGTGAGTGTAACATATAGTACTTTGAAATTGCCAGGCCAATCTCTTCGTTTCAGGCATCAGGTTTGTGCACTGCTATGTAATCGTTTCAGTTTATGGTACGTAGCTGTGTTGTTCCGAATTCTGAAACAAGTCCACTTGGTACGTGTACTTTCAGATCGCAGAGGGGGATCTTCAGCTTCCAATAACATAAGGAAAGATGAGTACAACTGGAGATACGATGCCGATGATATATCTGAAGAGGTGCTGCGGGCATCGGCTGCTCTAGAAAGTGTCCAGTTAGACCGGAAATCTCGGAATCTGCCAACATCTTGGAGGTAGCTGGGGATCGATTGATTAATCGCCCCTCCATCATAATGTGTGTCCAATGCAATTTCTTTTGTCCGAGACACCGTGTGAACGTATGGTGTGCCATTGCAGGCATTCAGGGGATGGCGCCGAGTGACAAGCAACAAGGCTTTGGAGCTGGTTGCTTTGACTGATACTGTATCGTGTAATTTGTATACCACTCATTTGCGGTGGTACGATGCTTGGATTGCTGTTATATTAGAGAGAGAAATGGTACATTGGTTATGTATGTGTTGTCTTGTAACGAACGAACAAATCAAGTATTAAAGTTTGTTGAATTATGGGTGGACTTGATCCGATAAGATTGGCACGCCGTTTCAGTGCATGTGCATCCATCCCAAGGGGAAAAAGGCTCGTGAGACACCGTGTGTGCGCTCCATCGCTCATACGCTGCCAGTCCAACATCGAGTTTCCTTGTCATTGGCATACTCAGATGCATGCTTCATCCAGTCCAACTGTATTGTGTAATGCATATATTAGGTTGCGCTTGTAGAATTGTACAGTACTGTAGGAAGCGAGGGCAAAACACACTTGTCTTCATCGTTAATCATTCATTGCTGATGCTAGCTAATATATAGCACGAATTGAATTGAAGGGGCTGGGAAGACAAGCACCAAGGGCCGGGCTGAGCTTAGGAACTCTGTTGGCTGGCCAGATACGTGGATCTGCCCCTATAAAATCAATTACTATTTGGTACTGTGTTATCCTCCACTCTATTTTCGATTGAAAATTGAAACAACTTGCATTCAATTAGTAACTAAAATAATAGTCCACCGTTTTTTTATTTTTAAAAAGGTGTGCAGCCAGTAGCTACTTAAGTGCGCCTTTAACTTTGTGCGAGATGCACGCAGTGATCTAGAGATATTTATTTTCTGCCAAAAAAAAAAAAATAAAAGCAAAATATGCATGACCAAAAGATAATTTATTAGACAAAATAAAGTTGAAGATGTATGTGCACTCTGATTATTACATGCATACTTATAAGCAAGTGCCGGGGGGTCAACATCCCTTACATGCTTATGCTAGCTCCAAATAAACAAACAGAGTCTAAATATATTTGATATACCGGCGGCCACTTATATCAACTGTTTTCAAATAATCCCCGTATCCAGCATGGCGTGTATGGGAAACAGGAACTCATGCCGGCCACTGGTATATTTATACGTCCGCCCAACTGTTGAAACTTTGAGGTATTCAAATTATAAGATATTGTCCCAGATGGTACGCAAAAGAAGACAATCTCTTTGTAAGGATGAAATCCGAGGAAATCAACAGGGTAGTAGTGCCCGTCTGCTTCATCTTTGGCTTCATCGAGGACAATGTCAGCATTGTCAAAGTCCCATTCATCATCAGCAGCAGCAAACTCGTCGTCGCCATGTGCAGCAGCAGGTGGTACTTCCTCCTTGTTATTATAGTCACGGATGACCCTCCATTCATCATCAGCAAAGCCGCTGTGAACAAGAGGGCGTCTATTTGCAAGCAGCGGTGGAAGGCTGATGTTAGTCTTCAACACCCACTCCATGTGAATGTGATCATTTTCTTCTTCTTCTTCTCCTCCTTAAGGAACCAGACTCGAAACTGGGGCCAGCGACCGTAGTCGACCCAATAAAATAACGCAGAGTATACCCCTTTCTCTGATTTTCCCAAATGAAAGGTAGCATCGGTACCCCCACCAAGTTTGCCGCATGTTGCTGGAGATTTCATCATTTGGTACTTGTCATTGGACAAGGCTATCCTGCAATTAATTAATTACAAAAAGCATGAATATATATGCATGTGTGCTTAATTAGCACTAGATTGAGCAAATAATGAATCATATATATAGCATGGAGTTGTACAATGACGAAATACTAGATGAAACGTCGATGCCTACTAGTTAGTTACCTCATGATAGAATCATTTTGACAATGCACATAGAGTGCTCCCCGGAAATATACGGCCTTGTGGTCCCAGCAATCGGATTGCAGCATATCGGCCATGGTCCCGGCAGGCTCCCCCTGGCGGACCCAGGACCTCTCCTCCCACCTCCATCTCCTCGACGAGAAGACGTGGATTCTCAATGTCGATGGCGGCCATTCTTGCTCCTCAATGTCGATGGTGATGTTTTCCCGATTGCCCAGACCATGGTCAAGGAAGGGGATAAGAAATACCTCGAAGTGCTGCGGCGACTCCGCCATGGGATCGTACACAAGGTGAAAGCGTGGATACAACAAGTGGTGGTCGTCGTTCTCCTCATCCTGATCCTGATCCGTCGTCGTCCCGGCCCAGACCCTGACCCCACCAAGCATGTCGCCAATGGATGGTTCCGGGGAGGTAGGCAAGTTAGCCCATTGCCGTGTGGCAGGGTTGACCACCATGTAACACCCACACACCAAGAGCAGACCATTGCAGTGATCATCCACTTCCCGATCGTAGTAGCGTTCATGTATGAGGTCGAGGCGGATTCGGCGCGCCGTCGAGGGGCGTGCGAAGAAATAGGTCATCCGGTCGATGTGGTCGAGGGAGGTGCAGAAGAAGGCGTCGAGGCGGAGAGGGAGGAGGTCGGCGCGGAGGAGGCGCCGGGCGTCGATGATGGAGCACCAGTGCTTGCGGACGCAGCGTGACGCCGCTAGGCTGCTGGGCGGCAGGCGGCCCAGGACATCGGCGAGCATGTCGTCAGGTAGCTGCTCCATATATATTCTTAGCTTACTATATGAATCGGCGCGGCGCGGATCGGATCAGATCTAGGAGATTCGGGATGGTGGTGGACCGGATCGGCCGTTGACCTGGACGCGAGGTACGGTGGCGTCCGGTGGGAGATCGAAGATGCTCTGTCTCTATCTATTTATTTATGATGATGATGGAATCGATGGATAGGTGGGAGTCGGAATCGGATGGATTATATATAGGCGGGCGGGCGGGCGGGAGGAAGGTACGGTGGTGGTGGGCGGGATGCAGTCCTCTTCGTCTCCGTCTCCGTCTCCGTCTCCGTCTCCGTCTCCGTCTCCGATCGGAGGGTCATAAGGGTATATACGTAGTTGCGTCGATCTGCATGGATGCATGTGCGGCTGCTTGTCTTCATGTATATATATCATCGTTTCCTCGATGAGTGATTATGCATGCAAATACGTATTTAATTTCACGCCAAATGCAAATTAAAGCCAAGCTAAAACAGACGTACGTACTACAGTATATACCACGGCCTGCTGCTACTATATGTATTATATTTATTTATTTATTTATATATACATGCATGCGTCGTCTCCGATATATATATATATATATATGATCCGAATGAACAAGGAACGCTAGCTAATCGAGTTAGTAGTTCGACTGCTCCCATGAATCACACTAATGGCGTGCCGCGTGCGCGTGTGTTTACTCCTGGTACTGGTAGGTGTCGATGGTCTCATGGAGGCATGTGTCACTGTGCCTCATCCAGGAGAGGGCCCAAGCACGTCCAAGCCCAGAAGGAGTTTGCGGACCAAGGCCAAAAATGTAAGTGAGTGGCCCAGAATGGGCGTGTAACATCTGTGTTCCTAAGGCCCACAAGTGAGGTTAGAAAAGGGAAGAGAGTGGAAGTAGTCAACAACAATCTACAATTCTGTAAACTTAAACCCTAAATCAAACACTTGGCCGACAGCCTGTCCGGCGGGCCGTCCCTATCTTCTCCGTTTCTGGTCGCCGGCGCCGCCATAATTACGCAGCGTCGACAAGTGGTATCAGAGCCGATGATCCCGGCGCCTCCGCGTTCTAGAGCCGTCGGAGTTACATCCCCATTTCACCCGTCTCTAGCGTGCCCGGAGAGTCATGGAGCCCAACATGCGCTCCCTCTTCGACGAAGTCCTCAAGCGCATCGACGACCTTCGCGCCGATTCCGGCGACCGCTGGGAGCGCCGCTTCGAGGAGGCGTCCGCGGAGCTCTAGGAGCGTAACGCGGCGGTGGATCAGCGCATCGCATCGTTGGAGGAGTTTGCCTCGGCTCAGTACACCACCGCCGTCGTCTCCGACAACTGGGACGCCCATTTCGACGAGCGTGTCTCCGATCTCGAGCAGCGGATGGTGGATCTCGAGCTAATCTGCATACAAGAGATCAACAATGAGCGCGATGACAGGGTGGCTGTAGTAGAGACCGCCGTGGAGGAGATCGTCAACTGGCACCCTAAGGTGGACGGCTACATCGATGACCTCCGCCTAGAAGTGAAGCGTCTTCGAGCGCGTGAAAGTGGCACCGTGATGGAGTTCCCACCTACGGGACACCAGCGGTAGCCGGAGTTGGTCGCCGCGCGCTCATCTACCGGGATCTCGACTGACTGGCCCGGCGGGCACCATGAAGAAACGACTACATGGGAGAAGGTCTATGGGTTGGTCACAACCATAGCCCAGACCTCGGCCAATGGTACGCACCAATTCTCTAATCCTCCTCCTCCTCCTGCTCTCTCGAATCCTCACCCACCTCCTCCTCCGAACCCCACCTTCCACATCCATCCCTCTCCAAGCTGCTCGCACACCACCACCACCGCCACCTCCTGACCCGACCATTCCCCAAACCTAACTCCAATCTTCCCACCTTGGCCAATTACCCAAAATGCACTTCCCCCAATTCGATGGCACTACACCACAACTCTGGATTACTCAGGCTCACTCTTATTTTGAGTTGTACTTTGTTGATCAGTCCATGTGGGTGCATGTCGCCACTATGCAATTCACTGGCGCCGCTAAACATTGGATTCAATCCATTGCTCACCGCCTTGAAACCATTCAGTGGACTGAATTCTATGCCTGGAGGAGCTCTCGATGCCCCTCTCTGGGTTGCTCTGCTCTCGGTGCTGAGCAAGAACAGATTGATGTGGAATGGAATGATCTGTCTGGGATTGTCCCTCCCCCCTCTCTAGGATCCGACCTTCCCCTTATATTTCGAGGTAGGTTAGGTACATGGTGGTTTGGGGAGTTGAGCCTATGGTCTACATGCGCCGAAGTCTATGAGGGTCTTGCAGCGGCGCTATATGGACCGTGGTGATGTCATGGAGCCAAAGAAGCCCTGGACGTCATCTGGCTGCTCTGTTCTAACACAATGCGTGTTAGGTGGTGTCGACTTGGACCGGCCTTCCCCAGGCGCGTCTTCTCGAGGCTTCTTGGTGGTGAAGGAGGCCAGCTCGAGGGACTAACACACGGGCCCAAGAGCCCTCGAGCCCCTAGAGGCCACGGAGGAGTTTGTCTTCTTGTGTCATGCCCCGTGCGTGACCCTATCGGGGGAGCGGCTGGCAGAGCCGCGCCCAAGGGGCAGCACCGGAGAGCCCCCGACTCCTGGTGGCTCGAGGTGTGCCTTCTTGTGCCCGGTGAAAGCCCTAGTTTGGTTTTGGATAATTGATGAAACCTAAAACTAGCCTTTTGATCTAAATGTGTGAATTAGATAAGGTGGTCCAATCCAAGTGGTGAAGCTAGATGATGGTCATGGTGAAAGTGATGGCCACAAAAGAGATGATCAAGTGCTTCAAATCTAGAAAAGAAGAAAGAGAAAAATAAAAAATAGGCTCAAGACAAAGGTATATTGATAAAAGCCATTTTTGTTTCACACTCAAGACACCATAGAGGGTGTCAGTGACTTAGGATCGATAGCCGTACTATAAAGAGGAGAAATCTTTGGCTAAACGGTTTACCGAGTGCCACTAGGTGACGTGATTCTTGCATATGAATTTAGGAACCTAGTGTGCTAACAATTAACCCTCGAAAATGATTGTGAAAATGCTAACACACATACACATGGTGGTGTACACTTGATGGTGTTGGCACATTTGTTGAGGAGAAGAAGTTGGAGTTGTTGTGGATCAACTTAGAGAAGAGAAAAAGGGTTTTTCAGTGTACTCCAAACTATAGGATGATCCTTGAATTGGAATACTACTTTGATCCATTATTATTTGGATCAAATATGCATATGGGATGTGTAGCCCTCTGAGTAAGCTTTCCAAAATGTCCAAGATCATCGAAATCGGAGTTCGGAGCTAAGAGTTATAGTCGTTTTAGCGTTGAAAAGTATATGACTAGACTCTGTGACCGGACGTGTCCGGTCAGTACCTATGAGTCTAGTCACAGTGTCCGATCAGTATTTTTAACGCATCTAGAAGCGACCGGACACACTGAGAGTCCGGTTAGTGATGGCCGGATGATCCGGTCATCAAAATAGCTCAATGGAACCTCTCTAGAAGTGACCGGACTCTGGGAGAGTCGAGTTTGGTCGTAGGAGAAAGGTGAGAGTCCGGTCAGTGATGACCTAACGCGTTTGGTCATCATAAGAGCTCTCTAGAACCTCTCTGGAAGTGACCGGACTCCACGACCTACATGTCCTGGTCGTTATGACCTGCAAGCCCGGTCAGTGCGTGTTTTACCCAGTGAAGGGGTAACGACTCTTTTAGCCCTTGGGGTTATAAATAGAAGTGGTGGCCGACCTTGGGCTGGGCTCTCTCTCTTGGCACTTTGACATACTTGACAACCTTGTGAGCCTAAGAAAACATCTCTCACTCATCTCCATCATTGATTCATCATCATAGTGAGATTGGGAGTGATTCCAAGTGCATTTGCTTGAGTGATTGCATCTAGTGGCACTTGGGGATTGTTGTGGCTGCTACGGATTTCTTGTTTCTCTTGGTGGTTGATGCCACCTAGACGGCTTGGAGCAGTGGAGGAGCTTCGGCATGAGTTGGTGATTGTTCATGGCCGGCTCTTGTGATTGTGAGAGGTCTTTTTTTGAGTTCGATTGTGAGGGGTCTTGCACCTTCCCTAGCGAAGAGCCTCAAGGTAGCTCTAGTAATTTGCTCATGTCATTGAGATACCTCACTTGTGGGTAGGTTCTTGCGGCATCTCTTGTGGTGGGCTAGGTGTGTGATACCTATTAGCCGCCGAACCACCAAGTGTTGGTCGATACAACGAGGACATAGCGTGCCGGCAAGCACGTGAGCCTTGGGAGAAAATTGATTGTCTCTTGCCTTTTGGTATTCTCTCATTGATTAAATTGGTATTCTTCTTGTGATTGATTCACTCCTCTACGCGATGGCATAATCACCTTACTCACTCATTTACATTCCCGCAAACTACTTGTAGCAAGCTCTTCAGTGTAACTAGAATTGAGAGCTAGTCTTGTAGTTGAAGTTCATCTAGTGAAGCTCTTTAGTGTAGCAAGTTTGAGAGCTCTTAGTGAGTAGCAACATAGCTTCTTGTGTACCTAGTGATCATAGTAACTAGAATTGTTGGATAGGTGCCTTGCAACCCTTGTAGAGCTAGAGTAAGTTTGCATTTTGCTATTTGTCATACTAATCAAATTGCTCTAGTGATCTTGTAGAATTTTTAAATAGGCTATTTCCCCCTCTAGCCATATTAGGACCTTTCAAGTGGTATCAGAGCCATGATCACCGTTTGATTGAAGGCTTAACAACCTTGGTGTCAAATTATGGCTCAAGTTGTGTTCAACCATATGGGGGGAAATCACCTTTCTTTGATGGCACATGCTATGATTATTGGAAAAGAAAAATGAAGATGTATCTTGTTCAATCAATGATCAAGTGTGGGATATGACCAAGAGTGACTATGTGATTCTTGATCCGGACAATCCCACCAACATTGATAAGGCCAACAAGCAATGCAATACAATAGCTCTCAACACCATCTACAACGCCAT